TAGTGCCATATCGAGGATAAAAAAATGCCAAAAAGTGCAAATAGAAAAATAAAAGTGCCAAAAAAAGCTGCCACGGCACGGGTTGAGCCAAGATGACAGCCCTGCTTGTGTTGGATGGATGTGTATTACGGTGGTCCTAAATAAGGGAAGTCGGAATTTTAACTCTCACCCCCCCCAGGATTGCTCGAATCGAAAAAAATTTACACAAAATTTTTTTATTTTGAAATCAAAAATTATTTAGTGGTAGCTCAAAACGCTCAAAATTTTTTATGTATTTTATATGGGGAAAAACCACCTTTCGTAGAAAAGTCTGCTTCTTTTCAGGAGATTTCCAATAACAATGCCCCATTGTTTATTTAACCACTTTTTAATAATAAAAATTTTTTATTTATACCCTGATTCCATTTTCTGGGGATTTTGGTGGACCAATAAAATATAGTTACTATGAAAAAATGGTTAAATAAATAATTGAGTATTATTATTGGAAATCTCCTGCAGAGAAACAGAGTTTTTCGATCGAAAAATATTGATTTTCAAGAATTCCATACCATTTCAACGAAAAGTTTTTTCGGCGTTTTGAGCGACCTCTAAATATTTTTCGGTTTCAAAATAAAAAATAAGGGTATATTTTTTTCTATACTGAGCAGCCCTAGGGTGTGAGAGCATAAAAATTCCGACTTTACATTTTCATATGCATTTTTGGGCCACCCTACTGCATTAATGCGCAGTAATTTCAATTATGATGTATAGAGCAACAGCCGGCTACCAACATTCGCTATCTCTATGGTGACCAGTAGCTCGTTTCTGTAACTCTTCTCTACCGATTATTTCTCTACTGGTAGAGAATATACGTCATTCTCTACTACTCATTAGCAGTAGAGAACAGAGCGGCGAATTCATATCTCAATTCGCCTTGGTAGAGAATTGTTACAGAAACGAGTTACAGATCTCTGTGAACAAAAATCGAGACATTTCTAAAGCATCGATTCCGAACTTACGATATTTTTTTTAAACATAATCAGCCTTATCATCCCAGCAAAAAACACGATTACCACAGAAACGAAAGTGGAAACGAGCTTGGCGATGGGAATCGCTTACCCTTTCGCTTCAAGAAGGCCTTATTTTAACATGGGCATGTCATTGGAGGTAAGCCCTTACCCGCAGCGTTACCTTCAAACGAAGGGAGAACGCATGGATAAACAGAATCCAGAGAAGCGAACAAAGAATGCCTTACAGAGAAACTAATGTAGAATGCCTAGATAAGTACATACTTATTTATATTAAATTGTAATCAGAAAATGTCTTAAAAGATTAAAATTCATTAAAATTTTTATAAATCAGCTTTTATACATACATATGTATTTATTTAGGTATTTAGATTTTCTTAAAAATCGGTATGTACATACATGCATATTTAACTAAGCTTAAAATTGTACTTCCTCACTCTTGTACTTCACTTCATTGACTGACTTCAACTTCGCTGCAAATTGAACAAAGCAAAACATGATTTTTATGTGAGACAAATTTCCACAGAAAGTAACGGTAAAAAAGAATTTTTGGGTATTCATTCTATTTTTCAGCTGACTACGATGCAGCATTCTACTTTGCATTCTCCGAAATAAAGCAAAGAAGCGAAATAAAAAAAATATTGTAGGACATTCTACTTTGCATTCCCCGAAATGAAGCAAAGAAGCGAGACAAATAAAATATTGTAGGACATTCTACTTTGCATTTCCGGAAATGAAGCAAAGAAACGAATTAAAAAAAGAAATATTATAGGACATTCTACTTTGCATTCCCCGAAATCAAACAAAGAAGCGAAATAAATAAAATATTGTTGGACATTCTACTTTGCATTACCGGCAATGCCTAAAAGAAGCGGAAAAATTCGAAGGCATTATAACACTATGCCTTCTAGAACACGTTACCACTAAAAGCGATTACCGATTTTTTGCTGGGATGAGTTTCATTTTCCCCGAGCCGGTTCACTTTTCACTTTTGGTTTCCATGGTTTTACTATGGGCGGATGACAAATTTTCGGGTGATTTTTTTTTCAGGCGAAATTCAGGAATTTCGTGCAAAGTTTGAAACTTGGATTTATATGTCGCTTGTGAAAACATAACCCATATTTTAATAAAAAATATACAAAAAATATTCTACTGGATTAAATCAGCGATATGTATTGATTTATAAATTAAAAATGTTTTTTGTGAAATGAAATTTGTTTTTGTATAAATAAGTCCAACGTTTAATTACATTAATTGTATATTTGGAAATGAAGTTGTTAATTAAAATTAAGAGAAATTATTGCTGTAATTAATTTGCCTTGCACGGCAGTAAGTAATAAGTGTAAGTGAAGATTTAATTTGATATCGTTTTTTTGCGGCGTTTTTTTATAATTCGTTTTTTTCGTAATACAGTTTTTTTTTTACGATTTAAAACCTGAATAAAAAACCATGATTAATAAAAAAAAACGATTTTTCGGAAACGGTGCCCATCCCTAACATTTTAGCAAGCTCTGGCTACTTTTCTTTGTGTATTGCTTTTTTTGAAAGTATAGCTTATTATTAAAAAAAAACAGTAAATCAAAATTTCAAACTTTGTAGAACATTTATAAAAATTCGATGCATTTTTAACAAATGGTGATCGAAATTTTAAACATTTTAATCTGATTTTTTAGAATTGTTTTGCAAAGTGCAAGTTTGAAGTACATAGCTTGCACTTACTGTCGATTATTGCAATTTTTTGTTCGCGCATTTTCTTCCATACAAAGTATGTTCGACAACTTTTCTGTATGAAGAAAATGAGCAACACCTTCGACAAAAAAAAAATAAAAAAAAATAATTTAAATCAACCATTCGTTTTAGTTACTAAGGGCCGGATTCACAGTGCTTAGTTAAACGTGTGTTAACTTAACCACCAATACGAGTTTAACTATGAATTTATATTCAGAGTTACATAGTTAACTATGGAAATTCATATCGCTTGAAAAAATACAAATTCTAAAAATCAAGACTTTTCTATACAAATTTGAAATTCGTTCCACAAAAAAAAATTTAATTTCACAAGAGTTTAACTATGGGGGCATGCTGGTTTAAGCTTTTGTTAACTGAGCGTTGTGAATATGAAAATCAATAGTTAAACTCTTACTAGTGGTTAACTACGCACTGTGAATTTGGCCCTTAAACTTTACACTTTGACTTGAATAGGTTACATAACTACCTAGTTAGAATGTTTTTAAGAAATCTAATTGAAAAGCTCAAAACTTTGATGGAACTTTGTCGAAATTTGCTAATTTTTGTACAAAGTTTGAAATTATGACTTACATGGTCTTTATTAGATAACGAGCTACACTTTCATAAAAAGAAAATAATAAACATTATATAATCGACAGGGGAATAGCCAAAGGATGCTAAAATATCTCTTCCCTATTTATATTTTCGCCACTGTATCTACAGCTTCTATATTTCATATCCATGAATTTTTTGAAGGAAGTATTAATGTATTTTATAATTTCACTAAATTAAGGTTTGAATCATTTCATTAAAAAACAAACTTAACAAATAATAATAAATACCTTATAAAAAATGATACAAGAATGATAGACTGTAATAGCGATAGTACCATTTAAATAGACAGAATAAAACACAACCAAACCTAACATATAAAATAAGGATTCTAGTTAGCTGTGTTTATGGCTCCCTTATATTCGATGTTCTTTGTGAAAACGAAAGTGATTACGCTTGTACGAGAACTTGGTTTTGGACCAGAGTATAATAAATAAGTAAAGAAAACACTGAAAATCGGGATTTAATCGGTACAAATGTTTGTGGCTCGTAGATATCGTCTTTGGTTTCATCTTCAAATTGAAAAAAATCCGAGCGTAAAACCATTCTTTTAATTAATATAGTTTTATGTTTAAACAAATAAAACTGTACACAATATCTTTCATTTGATATCCATATTGTACCTTTAGGTAATTATAAAAAGGTGGACAACACCCTTATTCGGGTTGAAAAAACCCATATTTTCCAAAAACAAAATTTTAGTACAAGTCGTTAAAGCAGTCGATATTATAACATAATAAGAGTATACACAATCTGGTGCATATGGTCTTACATGCGCATATTTCGGCGCATTTCCAAATTTGTGTTCTTCTAAACGCGAACCATACACCAATATAGTGAAAAAATGATTTTATGAATTTGCAAAAAATGCTTTATTCCAAAAAGTGCACAAAAATAGCTAGTCTTTATTTATATTCTGTTTTCAAACATAAGAGACAATACTTTTAAATACAAGAATAAAAAAAAAAATATTCTTACATACCTACTTTTTTAAATCAATTTATCAAAAGCTACAATTCCTTTAAATTTATAAAACCTCAAACCAACATTTTATTTCAGAGAATGTATTTTTGGCATTTTATCCATGAAGATGATACTCATGGCTATGTTCTGATCAAAGTTCTTAGCGCCAATTTCAGATGAGAAAGTTTAATTTTGGTAATGCCATTCAACATTCGTTGGTTTTCTGATCACCTTTATTTAGATATGCCAAACAGGTGGCACCACTGTTGTCTGCCCCTTGAAATTTATGTTGCATATGTTTATTTGTACACAGTTTAAGTTGAACAGCTAATTATTGTTTGGTATAAACACCGGGTTGCATATCTCAGATTTAAATAGCCTATATTGGTCACTTAAGTACAGGTGAATATACTATATAATCTGAAAATTAACTTTCAGTTAATCAACAACCTCTACTTAAATGGCTCATCTGAAATAGGCCTTTATTCAGTTTGTTAACTTTAGTACTTTCTGTAGGCGGATTACTTATATTATAGTGAAATTTCGTTATAAATGGTTTAGTTTTTAAATTACCCTTATAAAAATTACAATTCCGTTCACATTGCAAACAATAAATTTTTCGATTTTTAACTTTTCCTGTTCCATATATGTATGATGTTCAATGACAAGATTTCTAACTTTCACAGTGTTACTCGAGAGCTTGATGCGTAAGACTGAAGTGAAATGCATTTACATGCTGATTCGTGCCAAACGCAATATCACTGCTGAGGAGCGAATAAAGAAAATTCTCGCCGGTCAGGTAATAAGTAATAATATCTTGTTATATAAACATTGTTAAAAAAAAAAAAAACACTTTTTAATTTACCTTCAACAGCTCTTCACAAAAGTAAGAAAGTTAAAGCCCAATGCACACCAACTCATCACACCCATACATGGCGATTGTGCACAACCGAACTTGGGTATCTCCGAGGAAGATCGAAAAATATTGATTGCAAATGTGGATGTGGTGATCCATTGTGCAGCTACAATACGTTTCAATGAGCCACTCTTTGATGCGCTGCTCATCAATGTAGTTGCAATGAGAGATTTATTAGAAATGGCAAAGGAGATGCGGCAACTAAAAGTGAGTCCTTACTAAGTAATTAATATGCTCTTGTATTCATACATATCCCCATACTAAATATTCGCTTGCCCTCACAGTCTTTTGTACACATATCAACCGCTTTCTCAAACTGTGTTCTGCCGCACATAGAGGAGCATGTCCATCCGGAAATTCTTGGTATCAGCGCACGCAAAACACTTGAAATTGCCACGCTGCTCGGCCCAGAGCTTACAAATAGTTTGACTGTGAATTTGGTGCGCAGCTTTCCCAATACTTACACTTTTACAAAGGCGCTGGCTGAAGAGCTGATTCTGAGTGAACGCGACAATTTGCCAATTTGCATTATGCGGCCCGGCATTAGTAACTATATTCATATCTGATCTGCGGTATATTTGTGTTACCCGTAGTACTTTTTTATATTTCACAGTTACTTCTACATACGCCGAACCATTGCCGGGATGGATTGATAACTTTTACGGGGCAGTGGGCACCTTAATGGCCGTAGCGCGAGGTTCACTACGAGTACTATTTGGTCATAACCATCATCCCATATTCCTGGTGCCAGTTGACTTTTGTGCGAATTTGATTTTGGCATGCGGCTACAGCACTGGACACGTGGAAGATGTTGATAAGAAAACGGTCCGCGAGCCCACAGTTTACAACTTTGTACCGACTGATGGTAATCAGATTACCCAAGGTGAATTATTAAGATATACCGCTCGCTACGCAAAAGAACGTCCTTTTTCAAACTTACTGTGGTACCCATTTGTGATGGCGGTTGGTTCGGTGAGGCTGGAAAAGTTTCTGGGAATTTTATTGCACCTTTTACCAGCATTTATTCACGACATTTGGTTGCGATTTCAAGGCAAAAAGACGAGGTAAGCTTCTTTTCCAAATAAACATATTATTAAGTATTTACTTTAGTAAGCTTGCTTCACTCTTCCAGAACGGTTCGCATGTTTAAAAAGCAGGAGCAATTTCTTAGTGTATTGAACTATTTTAAAGCGAACTTATGGACTTTTGATTTGGCGAATACTCAGCATTTGTGGAACCGTCTCTCAACGGAGGATCAAGTGAATTTTGCATTCAATATGTCTGCGGTAAATTGGCAACATTATTTTCGAGATATGATATTCGGCTTGCGCCAGTATTTGGTTGCTGAGGAAGACGCGACTCTACCCAAAGCTTTGAAGCGCTTGCAGATGTAAGTGCAACAGATAATAAACCTAGGATAAGAAATGTCTACTTAATTCTCTTCTCTTTTAAGCTTTAAGTGGGCGCATCGTTCAATTCTGATTTTGTTGGCAGTGGGTCTACTACTATGCATTCGTGTAATAATTAGTTACTTTAAGTGAAAAAATGTGTGTAAAATTAAAATTAAAATTTTATACAAATAGTCACCTAAAAGAAAAATAAAAAAAAATATTAAAAGGCTGAGTTCGAAATCAAGTTGAAAACCAGAAACAATCATTACCGACCTCATGGTCACCCCACATAGCCGTATTGGTATCTCAGAGGAACCAAATTAAGTTATGATGCCGCAGAGCTAGCTAGAAAAAGGAATTAAAGAAATACAACGGCATAACATAAGTTCCTTCGGACTTATAATTTTATGCGACTATTTGAATCCCCCAAGCGTGTAGATTTGCTTATCCATGGGCCTTTCCAGGATTTGGCGCGCTGTTGAAAAGGCTGTTTCCATGATAATTGGAGCAAATAGTAGGATCTCTTTTCTTATGGATTCTATGTATAATATTCAGGCATGAAATCTGCAGTCAGACTCAGGGAATCAGGACTCTGGGAAACTTGCTAATTCAGGCTTCAATAACATCCAAGCATTCAAAATGTCTGATCCAGTATGGCGAATGATTTAAAAAAATGACTAAACTTTTATGAAACTTTATATAAGAGGTTTTCGCTGTAGTTAATTCCAAATTTGAAGTTAGATCCAATAAGATAGATGATTAAAAAAAATTATTAAATTTTTATGAAACTTTCCATACCGTTTTTTGTGGTAGTTGATTACGTATCTGAAGTCATATTTTGAAAATTAAAAATGGCGGAACCTATATGGCGGATGACTTTTAAAAAAATTATTAGGTATATTTTTATGGTTTTTTCCATAAGGGCGTTTTGGGGGTAGATGATTACGAATCTTACAAAAGAAAAATACTTAAAAAAAATTATTACATTTTTATAAAACTTTCTATAGAGGGGTTTTTGGGGTATCCTATATGGCGAACGGATTTGAGAGGTATCAGAAAATGAATTCCTCGATGTAGAACTTACAACGAAGGAAAAATAAATACGAAATACTTTAAAATAAATACACACAAACAAAATTTCAAAATTAAAAAAATAAGCAACTAAAAACTAAAAAAAATAGAGTTCTAAATAGCGCCCTGAAACCTCCAAGCGGTGGGCCCTGGATACTACATTTGTCGTAGGCCAACTGCAGGCGTTAGAGTAAAAATGCAGATTCGTTAAAAACTCCCATACATCAGGTATTATAAATATTTAATATATATTTTTTTTAATACATTCGTCCGCCATATTGGATTCATTATTTTGTATTTTGAGAAACTAATACCTGTATCAGATTGTGATGAGCCGACCAACAACCCTATGAAATTTAACTTGAAACATTAATTGTCCTACGAGAATATAGGGCCTGCGAAATTTTTTATGTAAATCTTAAAAGCGGCATAAATTCTTTATAAGGAACAAAATGATCCTAAAGTACTTCAATTTCATTTTCAATTGAGGTTAATGTCAATATAGTAAAAGTGGGATGCCAAGAAAATTGCGTAGGAGTCAGTTCAAGGTAAAACGCACCTGAATTTGAAAGATAAGCATTCTTTTGAAGAAAAATAATGGATATAAGGTTTATATGTATGTAGCTATTTTAACACTTCAAATAATCTATACATATAACACGCGAAGGGAATTTTTGTTCAGGATAAAAGCTCTGTACCGTTCGCCTGATTTGCCAAACTGAGATGTCAAATTAAAGCGCTTGGACTGTAGATGTGCAGTAGGTTTTACTTTTTTGAAAAGAGTTGCCAACTTTTTTTAATTATATTCAAATTATTTTAAAAAAATATATCAATTATTACGAAATGGGTATCAATCGAAATGTTTCTTTGCTGGAGTAAAAAAAATCACATTAAGTAAGAGAAACATGTATCACCATATGGGTGCCAAACGAAAGGGGCTTCTGAAAGTAGTAGTTACAAAATATTTTGAAGAGGGTTGCCACCTGCTTGATATGTCGAATTTAGTTTACTTATACCCAAGTTACACAAAATATCAAAATATTGATATCAAACGAAGGAGTGTTAAGAAATCTTTAGTTGGAACTCTAATAATATTTTTGAGGTGTTGGTGGAGGGTCACCACCTACTTAAAATTTTAAATTTAAAATACTTTATAAGTTAAATGAATTATTAAAATATGGGCATCAATCGAAGGGGGTTTCAAAATGTCTAATTTCTGAGATGTATTTAGCGGAGTTGTTTGAAAATTAAAATTCCACTAAATTCATCAATTAGATTACTAGAATATTCTTGGATTGAAAAAGGTTGTCAACGAAGCGATATTCTGCGGAAATCCGCAATAAAATCCGCGTTTCGCTAACTTTAGTTAGAAAAATCTTGCCGTATTCTATAGGAAACCGCAATAAAATTTTACGGTTTGCATAAATCCGATGTTTAACACCTTACTAAATATATCTCATCATAAGTTTTCGAAAATAAATTACAAAAAATTTTAGATTCTCACAAAATAAACCATCTCGTCATAAAGAAAAATAATTTGAAAGTAGTTCTTGAAAACCCCCCATTTTTTTAACCACGTTTTTAATAGAGAATTAAACAAGGACAACGATGGTATAATTTTGGATGCCTAATTTACTGGTCTTCACTATGCAAACCAACTTCAAAAAGTTCAGCTGTTAATAGCTAAGTTAGTTTTAGGACAATCTTGACCATATTATATATAGAAATATTAAGCCCGTTTCTTTTCTTTAAAACAACGTTAAGATGAAGTCTCTACGATGAGCAAAACCCCAGATACAACGATTTGAAGAAGTACATGATTAGTCAGAATCACGAAAAATGCAAACTTTGACAGAAGAAAAAAAAAATTCCGAAGAAAAAAATTAAAAAAAAAATTTCCTCGAATACATGTTAGCTTATATCATGTATAGAACCCATATACAAATTTGTAGCGAATCGGAGCCATGACATATATAATTTTTTTTACGAAATCCGTCCGACTTAAAAAAGAATGGCTCATATCTCAGTGCTTGTTTCGTGTGCAGGGATCATCAACGTCTGAACGTTTAAGTTCTTTTAAGTGGCAAGTTCCAAGCACAGCGATCAAAACGCGGAAACGAGGATGACAGAGTCAGGACTGAGTATCGCCGAGTATCTGTAACTGCATAACCAGAATAATGTAATATGTAGTTAATTAATATGGAAGCGTTAACACTCCTTCGCCTTAGTTGCTTTTAAGGTTTTTTCAAAACCACAAAACTCTTAGAAGAACTCTTGCTCATTAGGATATGTTANCTCAGATGATAGCAGAGTTTACGCTTAAATGGTCTGCATAAAAATGTTGGAACATTTTGTCAACGGAATGAAAATATTAAGATTTTTGAAAGTATTTTCAAATCGGTGCTACTAGCGTAAATCTTTGTGTTTTCCGTATTTTTTTCGCAAAATTCTTTAAGTAAAATAAAGAATAAATTCTTTTAATTCCAATGGAAAATTAATACCGCTTTTTTTATTTATTTTTTAATTGCTTTTTCTTTGTATGGAGAGTAATGCACCCCAAAGTATACACATAACAAAATATGTATGTATTCATATAAGCACAATACAAAAATATGGAATGTGTGCAACTATGCCTTAATCGAAACTGTGGTCTAAATAATTTAACAAAAAATAAAATTTTCCGCATTCTTTTTCTGTTCCTTTCCTTTTCTTACCCCTTTTACAGCTAACAAAAACAAGCAAGTTTTTCCTGTTAGCAGTCGCTGCCCCTCGGAATGGTAAATTCCCGAGAAATTATTTATAAAAAACATTCGGATGCAGGGGAAATGGAGAAGATGCTCGGTCAAATGTTTAGCAAAACTTGGAGCGCCAAATATTTATTTATACATATTTATTTTTTATTTATGTAGTGAAAATATTTTTATGTTAACAACAAAGCACTGAATTCCCTAAAATTTGGCCAGAAATTATTCAATGAATTAATATTTATTTAAAACTATAAAAAAATGTTTATTCTAATAAACGTTTATGTATAAAAATTAAACAAATATAATTGACAAATAAAAAAAAAAGTTTTTTTTCGTTATTTGTTGTGCTATTAATATGTACACACTGAGAATAATGTGACCCACAAAAATGTTCTCTAGAAAAAGTTCTCAAATAAAAATGTATCACGCAGAAAGATTTCTTATTGTTTTCACGTACAAATTTTCATTTATTTTTTTATAAACTAGCTTGGGTTTTACACCAAGTTTTCATACACACATACCAACTTATATGCAAATTAAATTAAAAATATTGATATACTATTTTATTTCTGTTCTCATTGATAAACTACCACATCTCAGTAGCTTAGAAAAATAATTCCAGAGGTATGAATCCAGAGAATTTTAGATCATATTGCAGAAAAAGGGGCAGATTGCATTAAATTCGAATTTCGTTAATCTCAATAGCAAATGCAAATACCCTTAAATACTTTTTAATATACGCTGCGTGTAAATTTCTCTTGTTTCCAGTAATTTCGCCTTTTTCCATAATTATAGGCTTAATTTCATACATGAAGTATGACAAATTTTTGATTGAAGAACGCCCTATCTCAGAATTTGATTGAAGAATGCCCTATTTCAGAATTCGGTTCAAAGACATCCTATCTCAGCTGCCGATGCAAACACGCCTTATCTCAAGATATTTTCAGTTGAAAAAGGGCGTTCTTTAACAAAATTCTGAGATAGGGCGTTTTCAATCAAATTTTGAAGTAGGTCTTCTTGAAAAGTTTTCTGANACTATTTTATTTCTGTTCTCATTGATAAACTACCACATCTCAGTAGCTTAGAAAAATAATTCCAGAGGTATGAATCCAGAGAATTTTAGATCATATTGCAGAAAAAGGGGCAGATTCCATTAAATTCGAATTTCGTTAATCTCAATAGCAAATGCAAATACCCTTAAATACTTTCNTAAAAATATTGATATACTATTTTATTTCTGTTCTCATTGATAAACTACCACATCTCAGTAGCTTAGAAAAATAATTCCAGAGGTATGAATCCAGAGAATTTTAGATCATATTGCAGAAAAAGGGGCAGATTGCATTAAATTCGAATTTCGTTAA